GAAATCCAGAAGGTTTTTTTTACCATTCTTAACTCATTGTTCATATTTAGCTGTCCGCTGGAATCCCCGGCTGACAGCTGAATGAGTCAGGCAGGATGACTCATAGCTGACTTCCTAACAACCAGCCCTAGGGGAAGCTGTTACATTTAGCAGCAGTAGTAATACCGCTGCTAAAGGTTTCACTTCCCTGCAGGAGGCTAGGTTTGCTCCTGGTGCTTGGGTGAACTTGCTATAAATTCTCCTTTTGGGTGACCAGTAGACATGACAAGCTTGCCACAAACGCACCTCAGCAGTGTGTTAGGCTGACACACTGTTAAATTTGTTTTTTTAACAGCATGGATGGTCGAATCTCCCGCTGTGGTTATTGTCTTCTGACATTCAGTGGGTGTGCAGCTGTCAGAATACATCAAGAACCAGACAAAATTTGCTTAGTGTATGGCTAGGTTTACCCCCTCCTGTAAGACCTCCACTCAATGTAATCTTAAGTTTGTCTTTTCATTTCTTAAGAAGCCTCCTTTTTGAACCCATCACAACATTCCTTTGACTTTCCTGGAAGGTGGGTTTTCTCCTAGCCATTACCTTAAGCCTTCAACCATGAAACAGTGCCAAATGATGGCAATCTGCCAATACCAAAGCCACCAGCTTTGACAAAAATGATGAAAAGGCTGAAAATGCAGCGAAACACCAGCCAGGCCCAGACAGTGACAATTATCCAGATTTTGAATTGTGAATGTCTGGCAAGCATTATCTCGTAACACAATCGGAATTAAACAGCCTGGTCAGAGACTTGGGTTTGTCAAAATCAGAACTACTGGGCTCAAGATGTTTGTTATCACCAGGTACAAAAATATTTTGGTCTTTTGAAGCCACTAAAATTATTTTCAAATAGTTTATTTGCACAGATAGACCTCTCCTCCTTTTGTACTGACATTGATGGTTTGTTCACAGCTTTGGGTTGTGAGCATGACCCACTAAAATAGTGTCTCTTTATTGTTTCACCAATATTAAGCCTCAAGTCTGTCTTGCTACACAACAGCAATGTACACCCCTAATACCTGTTGGCTATGCTGCACACCATAAAGGAACACATAAAGGAAAAAATGTGGCACATAAACCACTTAATGACTCAACAAAGATATTTTTCCATCCACTTCACATAAAACTCAGACTGATGAAAAATTTTGTGAAAGCAATTAACAAAAAGGGGAGGTTTTCGTTATTGGAGATGGATGTTTCCAAGGATAACTAAAGCCAAGGATAAAAAAAATGTCTTTCCAGTATGATCTGTAATCTCTTTAATACAAGTAGTGTTACTAAAGTGCCTTTTTTGTTTTGTAATGTGTCCTATTTATTTTTGCACCAAAATAATGTTTCTAGCATGACAAAGTTCATTCTACAAAACATCTTTTGAGCGCAAATGTGCTTTTCTAGCTGTCCAACACAGTGGCTCAAGAAACAAGGGACTGCAAAAAAAAGTGCATCTAAGACCATATGTGCTGAGTATTTTGGCTAGCTTTGATTGTGACTCACATTTTTATGTGATTTCCAGGGTAACAAGGAATTAAACAGCGTAATGCTTTAAAAAATGATTTGTCTACTGTACAGCAGATCAAGTTATTTAGAGATCCCTGTTTATTATTGTATTTCTATTTTCAGCTTACTGCCTTGACTGTTCTAAAAGCAGAAGATTTCTGCACTCTTGATGAGCTGCTATCAAATGAGTTTAAGCCTTTGAGACGTCTTCTTGTTCTGCTGGGATGGACACACCTCCACAGTATAGAGTCTGCTAAATCACTGTTGCACCGACTTCATAATGACACAGTATGTTTCTTCTTTTTTTTATTTATCATACAAATTATTGAAACCTAAAATATAATGGTTTGCTTAGTACAGTACATTCTCAGTTATCAATTCAGCTAACCAGAACTCCTATCTAACAAGAAAAAAACTTTTTTGCTGATCTGTGGCATGTGTTATCCTGGAAACCATTGTGTGTCTATTTGTCTTAATTTGCTTTTGATTGCTGCATTTCAATATTAATATGAAGTCAATACCAATTTTATGTTATGATATGGTATAGTATGGGGTATAGCATTAGTTACACCTATTTTTAATAGTAATTCTCAGGCAACCAGAAACTACATTTAATCCGGAATCCTTCAACTTCACTTTCACATTTTTGATAGAAGCTGTAAGGTCTAGCAAGCAGTAGATCTATGCACAAAGTGTAAAAAAACCAAAAACGCTTGAGAGGTTAATACTTATCTGTGTCTTCCCTGCGCGCTCCCGTCCGAAAATGTGAAGATCCTCGGGCGGCCGCAAAGCATCTTGGGGCGGGCGCGGAGAGACACAAGGTAAGTCTATGGCCGCATGCACCCGCATGCAGATACCGTGGGGCAGGAAGTACCAGCAAGGACAGAGGAGTCAGCGTTGCATCGGAGAGCCGCCGCAACGCTGGAGGGACAGATGAAAAGGACAAGAGAGAAGAAGATCGGATTAAGAAACATCATTTAAGGTAAGTGCTGTTATTAACATTGGGGGGAGGGGAATAAAATGACTTTAATGTCACTTTAACTGAATGTCAGATGATTTTAGGAGATTCAAACATTTAAAGCATTCTGAAGGATTTACAAACCTTTACTCACTGTTGAACTTTGCCCATGGACAGAAGATGTAATTTATTCTGTTAATAACCTTTTTAAAAAATAAATCTTTCTAGCTGTAGGGTTTACATTTTTGTTCATCCTGATAGATTTCTTTTTTTACCCACCACGTGTGTTTAGTCCCTATCTGTTTTTCTGAAATTCAAGCTTATAGAGTGCACCTAATCAGTATTGGGCAAATGCAATTCTTCTGGGAACTATGGCACAGGTTAAGCTTGATACACATGGAGCAAATTTCAGCCAAGTCAACAGGAATCGTCCAGAATTCCATCTATGGGTGGCCCTATCCCCTCAAGAGAAGCCAATCAGTAGATCGCCTTTTGTTAAAGGGACATGTTGGAAAATCATTGGGAAAATGATTTGGTTTATAATCATGGTTGGGTATTTTGGTTGGCTGCAAGCACTGTTCCAGTATGTGGCACCGCTGGCCAGTGTACACAGTGGAACAGTGGCTGTTAGCGTAGATGGAGATATGTCATTTTTTTTGAGGGGGGGGATTTTAGGCCCAGGCTTGTATACAAGACCTCGACTTGTATACACCATTTCCTACCATTTAGTTATGAATGCTATAAACTTAGTAGAGATTTGACTGTTGAATAATGTGGCAGGGCTAAAGTATTTTTAAAGGATTAAACATGCAGTTCTCTCTCTCTCTTACAGACTGTGTTAGAGTTGCGCATATTGGCAGACAATGTAGCTAAGTAATTAAGTTTTTCTCTATTGTTTATTGAGACACATTATAAAGCTGGGTACACATGGAGCAAATTTCAACAGATTCAACAGGAATTAGCCGAAATGCGCACCATTGGTGACCCTATGCCCCTTGACAAAAGTCCATCTTTAGATCGACTTTTCCTGAAAGCCAATTAGCTGCAAACACCATTTGGGCTGCTGTCAGAATGCAAAGCTCACATCAAGAGATTCATCCATCCACGCTGCTCAGTGTGAATTAAGTAATCTGTTATATTTTTTTTTTTTCCGTGTAGCCTACGGGTTGAACTGAAAAAATATAAAATTTTATACCCCATTTACCCATTTGGTTTAACAGCAAACAGATGACTATACAGATTGTCAAATGGAGAGCTTATCTGTCTTAAATTGCGGACCTCAACTGACACTGATGTGAACTGATGGTCATCAGTTTTCATCCGCACTGCCATAGAGATACATTGTTGTCCGTTTTTCAACCTGAACGCTTGTCTGAAAGGGGCCTAAATGATTTGTTGACGGCACTACACTGCAGTATTGTTATTTAGACACTTTTTAAAAAAATATACATCACTGGACACAGGGTGGTGCTCTGATAATACGGGTTATGCAGCAACCTTCAGGTGACTGGACACTGGTAATTCAAAGCTGACAAGACAACCCTGTATAAACCCTTTCACCCCCAGCCTGCCTTGGTTTTTGCTAGTGTCCTTAGGGGAACTGACTCCTTCCCTCAGCTCCTGAGAGCAGTAAATAATTTTATTAAATTTTTCCTATTCTTCCCATCCCCAGCTCAACAAGGATAAGGTTGTGCTGAGGTCCTTTCTTTCCTAGGTAGTTTATCTCTCAGCTACAGTCCCTTTTCGTCAACCAAGGCAGTCTACTAGAAGCATTAGTACTTCTGGGGCTTTTCAGCAACAGACAATGATTTCCCAGATCTGCATTGCTGTCACCTGGTCCTATGTTAATATGTTTTAAAGTTTACCAGGTGGACATTCAGGCCTCAGGTGCCAGCATTGGTTAAAGTCCTTCAGACATGCTTTTGACCTGTTGGGCCATTTTCCTGTTTGTATTTTTTTTTTTTTTTTTTTTGGGGGGGTCTTTTAGCAGTTATTTGCTGTGTTGCCTGCCCCACAGTTGGGCTAGTCTTGGGCGTCCCATTGGCATCGGCGTACCATCCTGTGTCCTGTGATGTACAATTGGGAAAATTATTTTTGAGTTGCCTGTAAGATCTTTTTCTTGGAGTATATTACAAGTTGCATACCCCTGTTTCTTTGAACCACTCTTGTACTGGTTGCTACAAAACTGAGGCAAACTGGGGTGGGGTTATGCAGGACTGTCCTTATCAATTTGATTTTCCTACCTATCACACCTGAAGGTTGCGGCATACCCATTGGTATTAGTTTACCATGCTGGGTCATGTGATGTACTTAAAGTAAAGGATTTTACAAGTAAAAAATTCTTCCAAAGTGTTTTTCATATATCCCTTCATTTTGTCCCATCACAGATTTGATCACAAATATAGAATCGGATTTCATCATGTTTAGATTGAAAATCCTAATTTATTCACAATCCTTTTCTGTGTCATTTTTAGGAAATATGCAGTGACTCCATATTAAAAGAGTTTTGTGATGGGCTCTTGTTTCAAGTGGAGGTTGTAGAATGGTGTATAGAACAAAAAAGGTTTGTATCCACATATGTACTTTGTTTAATGTTCTTTAATAAAACATATTTTCTTACTTTTATGTTTTATCATGTGCTTTTTAACTCCACAGTTGGTTTGCCTAAATGTTTTATAACCCATTTGCATGAAACTATACTTGGAAATAGTTTAGGAGTAATGCTATTTTGTTTTGTTTTTTTAGAGGGTATGTTAAAGGAGAACTATGGGGTCAGGGCATTTCCCCATTGTTATCCTTAGGGTAACGGGAGGACACAAACTAGCATCCTCCCGTCACCCTATGCTCAGTATACCGCGAGCAACAGCTCACGGTATACTGAGACGCCGCACCTGGAGCGGATCCCGACATCGATGTCGAGATCCGCCCACCTGCGTAAGTGACAGCTGTCTCTGCCTATCTAGAGGCAGAGCCAGCTTTACCCGCCCCCTCCCCCGTCCGTTCCTACTGGCGGATCGGACCGGGGAGAGGGGAATCCAGCCCCTCCCCTGTCACGGCAGAGAGCCGGTACAGGATCGAGAGGTGAGCGAACCCGGTATGTGTTCGCTCACCTCCCGATCTACTGAGCCGACCTGTGACAGTCTCATTGTCAAAGGTCGGCTAGAACTATGAGGTGAGTGAAAAGCACTCACCTCATAGTTCTCCCTTAAAAGCTGCTTACTATTATAACCAAGTAAGCAGATCCTTGTCAGAGTTACTGCCAGTGTTGTGATTCACAAGCCTGTATTGTGGTTTGAAGTACTACCTAAATTAATACAGTTCTTGTAAGCATCCCTGTGGAACTGCATTATACAATAGAATAAAATATCAAGTTTAAATTAAATTCGGAAAAATAAAAAACTGCTGGGAAGTAGGGATTTTTGGCACAAGAGACATTCTTTGGCTAAGCGGCTTCTATTGTCTGCCACTTACAATACTTTTTTTTTACACCTTTCTCTGGGCGTCTTTATAACATCTGCTAGCTCCAATCATGCTAATGTAATCAAGAGTTTACCTCCACGAGGTCTCTAACCCCATGCTGGTTATGATAAACAGATTATGTTGATTGCAGCATCTTTCACCATATTCATTCCCAGATAATTTTTTGCACACGTTTATTCTGAATTGAGAAGGTGAGTCGGATGACCAGGAAAATGTCTTCAAGAAAAATACAGCAAGTCCAGTTGCCTTGATTTATTTTTTACAGATATCTCTTGCAGGTTGCCACTCTTCATACCTAAGATCTGCGTTATAAACATGTAGTCTCATTGGGCCTTCCAGCTCTAGATCCACCAACAGCTCTGGGGCAGCTTGCAGGGGTCCCTTGCCAAGGAACTGACGCTGATTCCCTGGACAGCTTTTCCCTGCTTCAAGTCTCCCTTAGCCCTTCCAAGTGTAGCCTTCTCCTCTGCTCTATCCAGAGAGGAATTTTCTGCAACTAAGTTGGATTTTATGGCAAAAATAGCCTCCTTAATAGCTGACTCTGTCCCTCATCCAGCTGAAGCCATGTGCAGAATGCTAAGGATGTCATTTTTTTTTTTAGAAGATCTGGTGTGAGGTGGTCCAGTTTGCCGACATCACTCCGAGACATAAAGAAACAGTTTTGATGCTTACTGACGCAGGGCATATGTTTAGGGCTACTGCAGCCTGTGATTTCGGCCAGTACATTAAAAACTGCCATGTTCGACCTGCTGTGCCATGGAACATGCTTGCATTTTATTGCAGCGCACTACCCAATGAGTTATGATGTGGGACACATAGAAAACAATTATTTTCTACTGTGGGGGGGGGGGGATTTATCATAACTGGAGTGGAACAAATCTGGAGCAGCTGTGCATGGCAACCAATCAGCTTCTCTCTTTATTTTGTTCAGTTAAGTTTTGAAAATTTAAAGACACATTCTGCCATGCACAGCTGCTCCAGATTTTGTCTGCTCTAGTTTTGTTAAATTCCCCTCTGTGTCTTTGCATTGATCTGCATTGATCCAGTACGGTACAATGCAGGTCACTGCTATGTGTAAATGGGCCCTTATCTAACTTTACACTCACATGCTCATAGAGCAGCATGTTTAATACGGTATTTGGTCTGAAACAAAAGGAGAAATCTATAAGAGCTTTCCCCTTTAGTTGGCTCCACTACAACTTTTTAAGATAATTGTCTTGTAATATACTGGATCATTTCTGTAGCCACATTCTGCGACATGGTTTATAACAAACCCCAATGGTTACGTTACAGTTCCGTATATTTACCAAGATGTTTCCCATACTGGCAAACTCCTCATTCAGAGCTTCTCTGATACACAATTTTATAAAGCATCAAACCCATTCCTCTTTTGTGTATTCTAAATATACTATAGTCCTCCAGGTTCTTGATCTTGACTTTTATCCAGCCGGGTTTACTCCTATTTTTAAAAGGCTTACTCTGCTAAAAGCTAAATATCCGTTATCCAGCAATCACAGTTGCTAATTCAGTTTGGAATACTTTTATTATTTTCCTTTTGTACATGTATATATTTACTAAAAATGTAATCACCTTACTGATCTTGCAAGCTCCACCCTCCAGTATATCCATACTAACTGCTGTAGGTTCTTGGGTTACTTCCTTCTCGCCCATTTTATTCTCTTTTGTGAGGTGCTAGAAGGGTGTGACCATGCTTCAATACCTAATATTCTCTATTAACCATATGCGCTGTTACACACCTACAGTAATCTATTGCCAGACATGGTCTCCTCCTAATGTCAGCTTTTGTCTCCATGTCTCTCTAAATAAAACACAGAACCACCAAGCACATATATTCCAAAAGAAAAATGTATCAACAAATAGGATGTTCACCATCTAAAATAATTGTTTTAGTTTAAATAAATTTACTTTTATACTAATTTTATCCTGTAATTTTTTCAGTCCCTGTGTTGCCAAGAAAGACATTTTGCATTACTTGAATAGTCTGGACAGCCATTCTGGTTTGTACATTCTTCATAATCTGACTAATCTGCCAAAGTTAAATGAAGATGATATCTTTAGACTTTTTCACAAAGGACTCTCATCAGGAAAAAATGAAGGTAAATACCATAATTTGACTCCGCTCCAGTCAACTCCTCCTAATATGACCATTTAACAATCCTTTTAATGTTTTATGGTGCCTTTTTCCACTACTACTAATATTTGCAGATTTTGTTTTTGTACATGTGTTGTGCCATCCTTTCTTTCCAACATATTTCACACAGCCTGAACTAGAAAAAAAAACACTTGGATTGCAAAGGGACATGTTCTTTTTGAATCTGTTTAACCAGTTGACATCCGCGGTGTTAAACCCCCTTCCCATCCAGGCCATTTTTCAGTATTCAGCGCTGCGGTACTTTAACTGACATTTATTCCGTCATGCAGCGCTGTACTGAAATGAATTTTATACCCTTTTTTGGGGACAGATAGAGCTTTCTTTTGGTGGTATTTATTCACCACTGGGGGTTTTATTTTTTTACTATATTAAACAAATGACAGCTGCCGCCTAACTCTTGAATTTTCCTCTAGTCTAGTCTTGGAGCTGGAAAGATATCTGTACATGCACTTGTACCGAGTACAGTACTTGGTATCGGTGCATCCCTACTGTTTAGGTGTGTTGCCTTTCTGCTGTCCCAAAAACACAAATGATATATTAAAAATGTTTGCTTTTGTGTTTGGTAATATAGTGAAACAAAACACTTGTATTGTATGACCACAAAGGCTAGCTACAATGTAAGTGTTTTTTTTACATGCTAACAAGCAGTGGTTCTGTAATATGCTGTTACAGCAATCTGCAAAAGGAGCCATTGGCCGGATTGGCTGATCCTCAGCCAGGAGCAGGATTGGCTGTAATGTGCCCTTGGAGCACTGGAAGCTGATGTAGTGCTCTCCTAGACTCCCTTGGTGTAATGTCTGAGTTAGCCACCACAGAGGTCTTTTAGAGGTCTAGGGCTACAGTGTACACATATGGTGGAACCCTGTCTCTGATGAATCCTTAGGAAGTATGACCACCAGGAGGGTGATGGCTCTTTTGATGGGACATGTTCCCTGGATCCTGCCTAATATCTCCGATTTAATTAATGGGGACAGCAAGGCATCTCACAGCCACTGCTTTGGTAAGTCAGGGCAGCTCATCGAGTTCCCTAAGGAAAATATCAAACTTTTCTAAATAATGAATCCAGATCAACAAATATACATTGCACAGTAAAGGAGATTCTTCCACATCAACGTAGAGGGAAAAGACTGCCGTCCTCAAGGCCACCAGGAAGCATCCTTGCATAACATGCAAAACAAAAAACAGACAGCGCCCTCTCCTAGTGTAAAAAACATTTATTTAAAAGAGTATATAGATTCTTCCATAAAAACTACTCGCATTAGGATGGAGTGGAAACCGGGTTGTTAAATATTTACAAGCAGGAAAATCAAACAGTCAGTGACTACAGTAGCTGCAGCCTTAAAACAGTGAAGTTGTTGAATTGAGATATTAGCACTCTGCTCTCCCACTTATCAATTTGCCACTAAGCAGTGTCACATGGTAGGAGGTCACAATCTCCCCCTTATCCAGAACCTCTTAGTGTTTTCTACCATCTGATGTTGAGTAATGAGTGTGGGGGATCATTGTAGAGGTGAGAATTGCTCAGAGTGGGTGGGAAGCCTTTTCATAGACACTTTTATTTTGCCTTGAATGGATAAGACTTAAGAACTATTTACTTAATGAGGCTGCTTGTGTGTATGATGGATCAAATTGGCACCTAAAGTGAATGTATGCTTTGCCAACCCAAGGCAAAACAATATATTCACTGTAATGCTTGCCTTTGCAGCGACGTATATTAATTTTTCCTTCTCCCTCCTATTGTGGTGTTCACTTCTGTATGTGAGAAGAAATACCTGGAAGCATAGGGGAACATGTGACTCACTCCCCTTTCTCCCACATACTAGTTCTGGTGAATGCTAAATGGCTGTTTAGGCACCAGTACCATCACATGTGGGTGAGGAGAGAGTTCTTAGCTCTGTGTAAGCTCGGATTAGAATGCGTACACTGGGCTTTTTCTTCTTCTTGCAGTGAAAGGAAGTATAAACTGCTGTGGGTGCCAGCTTTAAAGCGTTGCCCTCTACACACATCACAGGTTCACCATAAAGCAGAAGTAATGTCGCACATGCAAGTTTATATAAAATTACTTGGCCAAAGGAACGTATACTTAGATACGTCCTGCAATGAAGAAATTGTTTTGCTGTATGTTTGCTCCACAATTTCAGGGATAAATGCCCGTCACATATGCAGTACTTATAGCATTTGTGGCATTTATGAGTTGCCGGAGCAAGGAGCTCTGAGTGCTGGGCTTGCATATGTTGGTAACAATTGATGAAGCACCTTTCTTGCACCTTTGCAAGGTAACTCTCATGGGATTGTTTCCCTTACATCACATGTTGGTAGGGCTGATGCTGGCAATGGTGTTACAGAGGTGAAAGGGTAAAATGGGACAGCATGCGTGGGGCCAGTGGCACCTTCACATTGCAATCAAAGAAGTTTATGCCCAGAGGTTAGCTAGATGAGGTGTACTAAAATGTAAGTGTTTCAGTTACAATTTAGCTGTTAATGTGTGAGGTAAAATGACCATGATCAATCTGACTCTTGGTTAAATGCATGCTGTATGTAGCAGTGGCACTTTCTTGTTATCCTCTGTTATAAAACCAAAACACTAATATAATATGAGCATAATGATGTTAACTGAGTATTTTTTTTTTTTTTACATTTGAGATACATTTGATTTCTAATTCAGTTTTATATCATCCTTGCAGTTTCTGTAAATCAGAGGGAAGCACATGATCTGGCACAACAACGCAGCAATTTTCTGTTTCAGGCATTTTGTGGATTAAAGTATGCAATGTATGCACTTTGTATCCATGCTAATAAACATGTTCAGTGCAGGAACTGCCATGCCAAACAAATGGATGGATCACTTGTGGATGTAGAATTTGTGAAAGAACCTGGCAAGGAGACATGTTTCTCTCAAGGTATTGTTTTTTTTACCATTTACACTCTTTGACCCTATTTGTGACCCTTGTTTGTTTCTCTGTGTTGATTTTTATATTTGCTGATATGTTTGTTTTTGGTTGCAGACTCTTCAGATCTTTTTGTACAATATTTCACGAAATGCCAATATTATTTAAGTCTACTGCCTTCTCAACTGAAGCTAGAACTTGTGGAGAACATTTTCTCTTTAATGTTTGCTTCACTGAATGATCTGGCTCCAGAGACTCCACTGCTTGATGACTGTCCCATGGAAGAAGTTAAAGAAGACCTGGGCATGAAAGTTGGTAGACCTGGGAGCTTGGACATCAATATTGATAAGGGAGGGTTGGTGATATCATCCCTCAATAGCCCCCAACATACCAGTGGCAACCTGAACAATGGCAATGTAACAGATTGTTTTCAAGGATCATCATTTTTTACTACAGATAACATTAACTACATAGACCTGGAACACTTTACTACTGGACTGACTGGATTTTTGGCTGATGAAATTGTATTGGACACTTTCTTAAAAATGTTGGGAGAACAAGTAGAACAAATAAACAACTCTTTTCAGCCAAATCTTTTCTCCTTAAACGATGAGCAAAGCTTACTAAAAGGTATAAGCGCACCAATTACTTCCGAGGAATTCAGCAGCAGAGTGGCTCAGCTATCTAAATATATTTTAGAAGCTCAGTGGAGATACAACGTGATCATGAGCAACAGAAATGCAGGTCAGTTCTTCTTATGTCTTCAAAATCAAGTTTAATAGGCTAAAATATAAATATAATTCATTGCTCTCAAAAATGGTTTGTACTATTCTGATTACAAGGAGCTCTAACACTGGTTTAATCCTTTCATGTCCGGGGGTATTAAAAAAAACCCTTTCTAACCAGACTAACTTCTGAAGTTTTGCTATGCTGTGGTATACTCATTAGAACACTTTTTTCTATTTTGCATACCAAAATGATTTTCACATCTTTATGTTCGCACATATTAGGCATCTATTTAGTAATTTATCGACAAATTTGCAAAAAAAACAAAAAGTAGCTTTAATTTACAGTGTAGCATATTTTGCATATTTAATACTAATCCTAATGTTTTCACTAAATTATGTTTCCGGTCCATCCCAAGTACAAGGACTGGAAATATTTGTAGGTTTTAATACAATACATCAGTGCTGTATGGTTGATAAGTGTGTGTGTTTTTAGATTTCTAGGTATAGGGCATATCAGTACAATGGCTACAATCCCACGACTAGCCTGACACAACACTAATGTATAGCAGAACCACTGAGAATAGGTCAGATAGAAAAGATGAGTATGCAACCTACAGTACTATTGCTATTAGTATGTTAAATTCAACAGTAATGTGTATTACAGTGTACAAGAAGAAATAGAAAGAATGTAATGTACACTGTATGAAACATAATTCTGTTCACTGCACAATGTATGCTGTGCGTTAACACAGTGCTGGCAAGTAAAACAAGAACAAATCTCACCCCCCGCATCAAGCAAAAATCTACCAACTCCGTCCCCACTAGCAAGCAAAATCACCCCACCAGGTAAAAATCTCCCACTTCAAGCAAAAATCTCTGTCCAAGCAAAACATCACCACCACAGCAAAAATCAACCCCCTTTCCCATAGTAAAAATGTAACCCAATAAAAATGCCCCCTCTCTTAACCAGCCCTCCTTTCCCTTCTCTTTAATCACAGCACAATACTGCACACTACTTCCAACACTGCATTGCACCCTTCTTTTAACTCTGTACCCTTCTTCAACTGCTTTGCACCACACTACTCTTCCACCTGTGTGGCCCCTGCTCCCTACTCCTACCACTGCATTCTCTTCCATCACTGCACAGCTAGTGCGTTACAGCACAGCATTAGCCCCCTCTTTTGCTCATCTGAGCCTTGGCCATAGAGTGGCAAGTGGCCAAGTCTTCTAAATTAACAACAATAATTAGAGGCACTTCACTGACCACTAATGTGGCAGGGAAATTAACACCAGCCACCAATGTAGCAGGGGAATTTATACTGACCACAAATGTAACAAGGTAGTTTGAACTGACCACCAATGTAACAGTAAATTTACAATGACCACCAGTCTCAAAAGGGATGTACATGAACCTCCAATGTAACTAGAGAATTTACATTGACCACCATTACACTGGGGACATTGGTGTTCAGTGTAAATGCCTCTGTTACATTGCTGATTAGTGTAAATGCTTCCTTTTACATTGGTGGTCAGTGTAAATTTATCTTTTTACTTTGGTGGTAAGTTCAAATACCCTGCTATATGGGTGGTCTTTGTAAATGGACTTGTTATAGAGGATTCAATACTGAACTCTAGCGCCAGGGCCTTTATTGGGGGAGGGATTGTAGTCTGTATTCTTTCTAGGTGACATAACATGCATTGGCTAGTAGATGTAGGTTGCTAATATGGTGCAATTCACATAATTTTCTGTAATGGTATGATTCAGTATAATGTGCTGTTGCAGTGCAGTGGTATGATTATGTATGTGGTAGTGACATATTAGGCTCAATTTACTATGATGGGTGAGTTTATAAACCCATTGGCAATTCACAAACGGAAATATTTTGATGTAGAATTTAGAGCTGTGCTTGTTGTGCCACTCCAGGCCTACTATGCTATATCTCTTCTCCCTTCCGGTTGTGTGATCAGTGGAGATTAGAATAGGAGATAAAGCATATAGCTATAGATCTTAGATCGGAACTGCACACAAATCTCAGCCAGAGGACAGTGCAAGAGTAAGAGCTGGAGCTGTGTTATACTCATGTCCCCTGCCTTATGTACGGTACGTACTCCTGACCCCTGCACTATGTGTGTTACGTACTCCTGACCCCTGCACTATGTGTGTTACGTACTCCTGACCCCTGCACTTTTGTGCATGACACAGGTTATTCCTCTACTCCTGACCATGGCACACTGATTTATGTTATACTATGTAATTGAAAAGCTTACATTTTTTAAACTGATCATTTGTGGTGAGGAATGCATGTCAGTAGGACTCTCAGTCATGACACAATATTTTGTGAGTGACGATGACTGGGGCATATGTGTGCTATGTATGCAGTGAGTAGGCTTTTATTTAACCATGCCGCTTAAGAACTTGTTTATACCAGCAGCCGCCCTACACCACACAGCTGCTGGTGTGCGCGTGCCTGGCACAGTGCTGATGCACTCGATTAAGATACATTGCACTGTTTCTTTTTTTTTTTGCTTTTTTGTTAGAACTTGTAATGTCACATGTGTGTGTAGCTGCAGTGCACTGAAAAAAATACTGCACACTTTTTTTAGCACATGCTACCGCAACATGGTGGTATGAACCAAGGCCATCCATAACAAGGCAAATTGTCTTGTCTTGCATTTAAGCTATGTTGGAAAAACCACCCAGCGCAGCCCGGACACATCAGATGTGAACAGGCTCCTAAAGTACAGTACTGTGCAAAAGGTTTAGGTGTGTGTGTGTGTAAGTGTGAAAAAAATCTGTAAAGTAAGAATGCTTTCAGAAATAAAAATTTGAATAGTTTATTGTTATCAATTAACAAAATGGAAAGTAAATGAACAGAAGAGAAATTCAAATCAATATGTGGTGTGACCGGCCTTCAAAACAACATCAATTCTTTTAGGTACACTTGCACACACCTCTTCAGGTAGGTTGTTCCAAACATCTTGAACTAACCACAGATCTTCTATGGAAGATATGCACTGCCAAAGGATTTGACATTGGGTACAAAATGTTTTGTTTTGAAATAATACATACATATTTACCTTTGTATTCTAATTAACCATTGACATAGTGCCTATTCATATTACCTCCAACCACTCCATATACACCACTGCATATATACATTTAGCGTTACTGCTCTTCTTAGGTTGTTTAGATAGGCAAAGCCCTCCTCACCTTGCATGTCTTTTTGTTGAATGGAGATTTTAATTATAAATGACAAGATTTGTGTTGCTTCTTGAATTTCAGAGAGCAGTGCAAGTAACTTGTCTGTCAGGAATTATGTGGATTGCCGCTGTGTTTTGCAGCAAAGAAGCAACCTGATTCCCATGATGCTTTCTCCACCTGAATCCCTGCTTATTTCATGTATTTTAAGAAAAAATTACAGTGAAGCGCATCAGGTAAGATTATTTCACCTTTTAATTTTACTGTTAAAATTGTCCAGTTGACAAGACCAGATGTCATTTAAAGTTGAAAAAAGAAAAGTAATATAATTGAAAGGGAAAACATACCAGAAAAATTGCTGACATTTCCAGTGACATCTGTAACTCTATAATGAATCGATTGATGTGTCTTGCTTACCCACTTGGTTATAATTTTCTGGAGCATGTACCTGATATTTATCTGAACTGAGGATGTTATTAGGATCAGTGATGAAACAGCTTTCACATTATGGAGTCAAGCTAAATGGGACTTTACTACTGCTAGCTATGCCACTACCTGGATACATGAAAACCCCCGCACACATAACTTCCTCTTATGCATTTTTCCTCATATCCTAAATGTGAATTACACACATTTGCAACAGGTTTTTGTGCATCTAACATTAACCACTTAAATCCCAGATGCAATTTCTAAATGGTACAGGGACATAGGTGAAACAATCTGCTTCTGGGCATCTTGCTACACAGCACCCCTTAGAAATGCTTGTACTAGATCACTGTAAACACAATGCTTCCACATTGTGTTTACATTGGATTTGATGCCACGGCACTTCCTCTTCATGCGGCTTCTCAGGTACAGTTTTTGCAGCTTTGTCCAGCGTATCCCTGAAGTGACGGATCACTGCTATAGTGACCTATTTCTTGCTGATTGCACTATTAGAAGTGAGCCTACCAACCATACTCTGTCACATTGTCTGCAACATCTCGGCTACAGCCAGTGGCTGTCTGCAGTTTCATTGGTGGTTCGATGTGGCTCCTGACATGTCATTGCCAAAGTTGTGGTGAGTGTCTGTCTGCCCCCCTATCCTTTTCCCATCCTTTCCCATCCTTTTCCCATCCTTTTCCCATTCCTTCCCAAGCTCCTTTGTATAGCGGTACATGTATGGGTGTATGGAGGCTCCAGAGTTCTCTTCAAAGGGAAGTTACTGCTGGGGTTGGAGGTCACTCTGCTTCGGGACACCTACCACTTTAAAGTGACACTAAACTCAGGAGTTAAATCCTAAAAATACATTCAAGTAACTTAACTATGAACAAAAATGTATCTTATTTGTGAATCACTCAGCCGTAGATCCTCAAATCATCTCAGAATTGGTGCTGACAATGTCCTTCCTTCTGGAGGGTGACTACTTTGGTCCCTATGGTCCATGTGTGTGTTCTAAAGTATCCACTGCTCCAAGCTCGCTCTCGTGATAGACTATAATTTCAATGCAAATTAGTAAACTAAACATGAGAACCTGCATTATATTGTCTTTAGGTGATACCAGTGAATTGTAGCCCAATTTTATGTGAAACTGCAGGATGACATGGCTATTTGTGCTTCAGTTTGCTTCTGTTTCACTGACAGTTGTGCTCTCTGTTTTGAAGACATCTCCTATTTAATGCTTATGGTGTCATTGTTGCTTTTCTTTTTATCTTGTGAATATTAATTATTGTATACTTTTGTTAATCCCATTTGCAAACTAATTTTGTAAGCTCTTATATTATTTGATTATGATGCCACTCTATGCTGTTCTTTACATTGTATATTGTCACTTCCCTTTATTTGTCCTTCCTATTGTTACTGCTTAAAAACCCTAATAAAATGTTTGTGAAAAAAATGAATTGTCCCTGTGGATGACCCAGCCATTTCTTGCCTAAACAAAGGGACTAAGGTGAATTACAAGGTGATGGAAGAGTCTTCTTCTTTTAAGGACCCTACAGACAAGAGGTTCGAAGCTCCGACGTTTTGTTCTTCTGTACTGCCTTGCACCCAGTTCTTGAAGTGGTTTTCTGTGTCGGAACCTTATGGGTTGGTCTAAATCCTTTAAAATAGGAGTTGGTCAAGCTGTTAAGGATCAGATGACCATGGTACTGACCTTTTAGCTGTGATGGGGTACTGGAGACAACCTCTCTTCTGCTCTGCATCAGTTTTCTTGTTGGTGCATATTTTGGCTAATTTTGGCACATTTTCGACAACAAAACTTGCTTATAAGACGTGCTTATGCTGCATACCCATCTTTCCCAGCTTAAGAAGACAAAGCATCAGGCTCGTATAGCATCTCCATCCTTGCCTTTACTGATGTGCTTCTTTCGCTACCTTATGCCCTCGATCTGAACATTTAGGAATTCCAAGGCTGGTGCCATATCTACACATAAAGTCTGGCATTTGAAATCTGCTGTGAAGCTCTCTTTAACATGTTGGTGCATCCCCAAATTCTAAAATGCTGGGACTCCTGTTGGCTTTTGTGGATACTAGGGAATCTTACTACCTCTTGAACCCAGGCATCAGGAAGGCATTTCAGGTTTATATGCAGGAGTTTTGTTCCCTTCCCCCTCCTTGCTTTCTGGCTTCCAATCTCTCTTTCGGACCTTCTTCAGTCCCTCTTCAGCCTACTGGACAAAGGTGTTATTGTTCCTTTTCCTGCTGCGGAACCCTTTTAGGGATTTTATCCCAATTGGTTTACTGTGAAAATAGAGAATTGCACAGTTAAACCTGAGCAAGAGGTGAGAGAAATGTTTCAAATATTCTTGTTTTCGTGCCTTTAGGCTGGCATTGCCCTTACTTTGAGGATCTTTTCTTCTACAATCTATCATGTCTGTAGGTCAGGAATTCAGGGACAGTATCCTTTACAGGCAATACAGACAGTAATAAAAACCTGAGAAAATGTTTTTACTGGAGCTTTACTTTTGGAAACATTTTTCAAATTGTTTTGAAGGCTGCCGACTACCTTCAAGATTAATTTTCTGTGCTGCATATAAGACAGTCTTCTCTGAGGGTACTATTAGTTCTTAAGATGGAATGTGAAATATTTTCATCTGTGTATGGTCACTGAGGCTGTGTGAAGAAATCCCTAAGTCATTCCTAATGCTTGAAATATGCCATTAATCTGCAATAAGAGAAATGGCAGGTTTGAATCCGTGTCCAATCTTCCTTGTCTGATTCTGGTCATCTCCACAACAAGTATTTCCAACACAAATGTTTCACAGTTTTGTGCAAACATCAGTAAATATATTTTGTTGTTTATACCTTTTGTATTGCAGAAGTATGAACATTTTTGCACTTTCCATTGTGTTTTTACTAGTTCTTGCTTTTTTTTTTCCAGGTGGCACAAATGTTTCATCTTCAATCTTACCCAAGCTATGGTGCATTAACATTCATGGAGCGTTATCAAGAAGTCATAGGAGAACTGGCAAAGGTGGAAAAAAAGATTGAGAATCAGAGTTCGGAGACTACCATCAGAAAAACAAACAATAGTCGCTCTACTTTACAAGCAATAGGAAATGCAGCAGCCGCAGGTTAGTAATTACTTATAAGGAAGCAAAATTATTTTTGATTGTATGAGAAGTCTTCCCCAGGCTATAAGAAGTTTCAATCACGTTGATTCATTCTCCAGTGCAGGTGAAATGCGTGTATTTGTCAAAATCCATTGGTATTAACTGATCTTGTTTACACCAACATACTGATTTATGGTGCATTTTTTCTTTAAAGCTGAACTCCAGACAGAAGAAAAAAAGTAGTAGATGGAATATTGGCTACCTGTTGCAGGTCATACTTTTTTTTTTAGCTTTTATTTGTTCCCGTGCTCCATAAAATTAAAGAATTTTGTGTGTTTTTTTCCTTTTGAGAATGCAAATTTATCTTCTTGTAGACTTGGTTTGCAGTTAGGAATGCCTGCCTAAACCCCCTGAAGGTTGCCAGTTTGGGGGTCCCAAAAATGCTTAAACTTGCTATTTGTTTCCAGTTTACTCACTCTTACAGCTTGTATTTCATGGTTATCCCTATTCCCCTAAAATGTTTTCTCCCCTTAACATTTTGCCCACTAGTATCCTATTAAGGATTACTTTTTTTAAGAAGTGGGAAGCCCACTGGACCCTGATATTTCTTGCCTGAACAAGACCCTTGCAGTCCTTGTTAAAGATGTCACAGTTTTTAAGGACCAAAAGACTAGCGTTAATCCCATTTGCTCTTGCATGCCTGCCCATGCAACTCAGACCATGTCAATTTACTACAAGGATATGAATAGACGGATCCTGATGTGTTGAAACAGCTGGAACTGTTCCCGGTGGCCCTGCATTGCTGCTTAGATGTACTAGCGGGCTCTTTCCGCTCAATTTCTAGAATAGGCATGTTGTGGGCCCACATACGCCGGCTTCTTTAGCTGCAATGTTGGTTGGCGAAGCCCCCCTGCAAGAAGCTTCTTGATCAATTGCCCTTCGCTGGAGGATGTCTCTTTACATGGTGTGGGATTCATGCACTTTTGGGGTGTCTTGCATTTTGTGCCACAAGGTTTAGTCTCTTAGATGACTTCCTGTGTTATCAGTGTGGCAGTCTATGTTGTAACAGAATGCTAGGACATTTATTTATTTTTTTGTGCTTACAATGCATCACTTTTCTCAACCTATTTATATGACAACACTTCACATGTCTAGGGGTGGGCTCATGCACTCTTTTCGTGTTCGTTGGGTACCACAGGTTGGAGCTTACATGACTTCCCACATTATCGATCTGGCAGTTCATGTTGTTATAGTGAGCTTACTGTACATCAATTATGGCAGCTAGTTAATTTTGCTGCACTAGGCCATTTACGGTACATGTTATGTGATGTTCCTATATAATCTTAGTGGTATCTATTTTACCCCATATTAATTAACCTTTCTTGATTTCTTCGTAGAATGGTGTAAGTCTGTTGTTTCAGAAGTTTTGGACACGTAACCAGTTACTTGTGCTGATGCAGCAGCACTTGGGTGCAGCTAGTTAGTGTTACAACAATAAGGCCTTTACATGACATGCTTTGTACTCTAGCAGTTTTGGTGGTATTGATCCTATACCACAAAGTTTAACTTCCATGGAAAGTCTATATTGTTGCAGAATGTAGGGCTTATATGTAGTGTCTTTGTCCTTACACTACAGCACATATTTTGGTACCTTAGTATAACCAGTTGATATGCATGTCAAAGGTTGCTTACTTGCATTGTAATCCCTGCACATGTCCTTTTTATGTTTGGAGTATTTTAATATATGCACATGCCAATACAACCACTACTGATTACTACTAGCGCTCTGAATGTCTTTGTGGACTCAATGCTTATCAGTACCACTATAGTCCCCTTCAGCTACAAGTGCTGGTTTGAGAACAATTCCTAAAGTTTTAGTTATCTCATAACTATTCCTGGAGTACAGTAGTTATGTTCTCGGTAGGCGCAGCACCCTAACTCGTAGTTCTTGCTGCCACGGGTGCCTTGAGTTAGTAGCTGCACCATCATGACTCTAGATTGTTGTAGTAGGAAGGCTGTTGTTCCTACACAAAGGGGGGAGCTAAGGTCCTCCACTTTAATATTCCCCAATAGTCCTCAATATATCCACGGTTTCCTGTTACTGTGGGAGGAGGTGCTCTCGTATGTGCTGTCCTGGAAATACTCGTGAAAATAGAATTACCAGTAAGTCTAACTCTAATTTTCAAATTGTAACAAAATCTGTAGTCATTGTTTAGTAATCTCGGGGGAAACAAAGCCAACATCAAATAAAATGTATAGATGTGGCTGCCATTCATATGCTACAATATCCTATGGAGGGCGACAACCCCCCCCCCTCTCCCCCAAAGCAGTTTCCTTTTGGATTAGGAGGATTGCTTAGGATCCATTCTATTTTATTCAGGAATTACTTTAATTGTAAAGGCATGTGGTGTATAGATATTTTTGTTTGATTCACCCACATTGTAATTCTTTTAATGTATCAATATAGTATGGATAAATTGATACGTGAACATATTTAAGTCTCCTTTATGACCTTACAAAAGAAATTAATATGATCCTAATCATATAAGGTCTAAAAATGTATACATTATACCGGTTTTGTTTTTCAATTGAATTTTTACCGAGTGTTTTTTTGTTTTATATATTTTCCTCTGTTTCTGTGAGAATTGTTATTGATAATATCTGTTTTTTTTTTTTTAATCCTCTGAAATTGACTGGTGTGTTCTGCCTCCATTTTTCTAATAAAGCAACCCCGTCATTAAACCAAAATACAAAACCAGCATATCTGCAAAAGGAAAGACTAAATACTTACCTTTCCCACTGCATGCACTGTCGGAGTGCTGCTCCATTAAAGAGAAAAATTCCTCCACGGGAATTGTGCTGGAAAAACCAACACTTCTGGGAGTGCCCGTTTCATGGTTCTCCTGCAGCACACACCAATTCCTTCTGTTGATCTCCATATCTTTATAGCACACATTGTGGCTGTTGGTGGAAGGATCCAGTTAAAACTGCGGATGACCAAGGAGATTGACACTTCTAGAAATGTTGTTTTCAACTAAGGGTTTGTCTTGACTGGTGTGGCGTCTGGTGGCTCTGGAAAAGTAATTAGTGTCTTTTTTTTTTTTGTGCAGGTAAGTCTGTTTTCATCTTTTGCATTGAGAATTTTGACTTTAGAGACATGAAAACTGTATACACATTTTTTTTTGTTAATCGAGCTTTCATATACCACAGTGGTTATCCATCAATTTGTGACCCAAAATTTTTGCTGTTGTCTGTGGCCCTGCTAGGGAATTTACCCTTTGCCTCCTTTGCAAACCAGTGACAGATATCCGAAGGGATTGGAAGCAAGTGAAGATCTCCCTTAACTGGGGAAGGACAATTAAAAATGATGTATACTCTAACCCTAACCTGTTCTGTCTAAAACATAAAAATAGAGCTCTACTATAAAGATAACTATTAGGATGTATTTGCATAATATTTACACCATTGTTATTTTTTTTTATGATTTAGGAATGGTGTTCTATTCTATATCTGATGTAACGGACAAGCTAGTTGCTCTTGCAGAATGTTCAGTACCGACATTACAGGATGATGTCTGGAGCAGAAATTCATGCTTAGAAAAAACTGATACATGGAAAAATTTAGTAGAAGAGTTGAGTCCAGCAGCTATGGCAGCATTTGATTTGGCTTGTACTCAATCCCATCTTTGGAAAACATGCAAACAGCTACTAGAGACATCAGAGAGGCGCCTACTTACCAGCATTGAAGCAAAGGGTATGTACATTATAAGTGAATAACTGAATGACACTACTTTGTTAGGGCAAGTGTAAAATAACAGAAATTTGTATAGTTTTACCCATGTGTCCGAGTTCCTATAAAATTTGGCCATGGTATTATTTCTTTTCACTAGTAATTTTTCATGAATTGTGGTGTGGGTAATACAACATCCCACTTTGTAATAATTATGGGGGAGAGTGATATATTGTTTAATGGTGGTAAAATGTGTAACAAAAGTTTTAACTTAGCTGATGTTACTGACACTGTTTTTTGGTAGTGTTTTGCTTGGGTCTTTATTCAGAGGAGGAATTATAGCTATCAGTTGGTAGATGCACGTACACAATCCCTGGACTACCAGGCATTGCCGCCATATAGGCCAGAAGGTGAGCATCCGTGAAAACATTGAGAGGATAACCCTGCACACACCTAGAAATCTTGTGTTCTGTACCTGGGTGCAGACTGAGCTGAGCAGGCCCCTCTTGCACCTCTTGACTGACACCCCTGGAAGTGGTGACAGGGAGTGTGAGGACACAAAGTGGCATTAGTGCAAGTGTTTGCAGGCTGGACCGGATCTGTGTAGTTGCTTGGTTGTGTGGACCAGATGACTGGAGTTTACAGGACCAAACGCCAGAATACTTGGGTATCAAAGAAAGTAACAGGTGTGTAGTTGGCATCTCAAGTGGAGGTCTGTAATACTCAGGCAGCAGAGTTGCAAATCAGTAACCAGGAGCAGAGTTGGGGTCACAAGCTGAGGTCGATAACCGCCAAGCAGCAGAGTACCAAATCAGGAACCAGGAGCAGAGTTGTGGTCACAAGCCAAGGTAAGTAGCAACCAGATTGAGAGGGACGAGGCAGAATCCAGTAAGCAGGCCGAAGTCACAATGGGCAGGCAGAGATCCAAAAAAAGGGTCAGAAGACAAGCTAGGTCATACACCGGTAATCCAGATCATGAATCGGGTCACAGAAAGAAGAACAAGCTGAAGGTCAATCCACAATCTGTCCATGGCACACATCTGTTTAAAAGGGCCATTTGGCACCGAGTTTATATGCTAATGCGCATGCTCCTGCACGCTAATGTGTGTGTGTGTGTGTGTGTGTGTGTGCATCAGTGCTAATACTTGCATGGATGAATGCTAATCCAACAGGTGAAACAAATGGTAAACACACTCATCAACTCATAACTAGCTTTTAAAGTAAGATGCACATAGAAGGGCTTCATACAGTGCAAAAACAAAAATCTCTCAGGACACTTACCAGCTAGCCTGTAAAAAAAAAAAAAAAAAAATTACACTGTCTAACTATTAGGGTTAAAAACAGAGGTTTTAGATATGTAACTAAAGCCTCTGTTTTTAACCCTAATAGTTGGACAGTGTAATGTGTTTTTTTGCAGGGTAACTGGTTAGTGTGCTGATGATTTTTGTTTTTTTATGCTAATCCATTCGCACGTGACAGCTAGGGCCACTAAGCATAATATGTGCACATGCTTGAGCCTGCACTGGTCATCTGGTATGTACTGAACCTTCCTTGGATCTTGGCAGAGACCAGATACCATCTAGAAAATATTTAAAGCTAGTTTCTGCTGTGGAAAGAGGTCAAGAGATGAATAACGGAGAGAAATCCAGTTAAGACTGTGAAGGCCATCCCTGCATTTAACTATGAATAATGCAAAAGGCTCATACAAGGTGGATGATTTATTCAGATGTGGAATACAGTTTTAATTTGAAAGTATCAAAAACATTGTTTGTTAGGGATTTCATATTTTTCAAAAAAGTACTTTAAGGATAGAACACCTTCAGTGACTTGGAATTTGTATAGGTGGGTTATATCGGATCATGTCCATTGTGTGAAGGGCTCAGCAGAAATAAAGCCTTGGGTGAAGGAGGGGTTTAAAAAAAAAGATTGGAGAGGTTGATGTTGTGAACAAGGTCTCCTGAAAATAAGGTGGAGTCCCTTAGTTTCAGTGAATGTTAAATAACTGAAAAAGTTATATCACATTCACTGGGAAAAAGGTGAGCAATCAGTATATTAAAGGGAGCAGAGTTATATCCTGAATATTTCATGAAGGCCTTCCTGAAATACTTGGCATATAAGTAGAAAGTAGATCCAATTGATAAAATGGGATCCAGAACACCATCTATATGATTTTGTAGAACAAGTAAGGCCAATAAATTGAGTCTAAGGCCTTTCTGAAAGCCAATGATGGCAGCATGGAAGGTACTCTCCTATGTTTGTCCTTGTGAGTCAAGAGAATGCTTTAGTTTATTTTGTTGGTAGCTTGATAAGATTTAATAAATTCCACTTTGTCTTTGCCTACCAGGCTACCAATTAGAGAATTTAATCAGAATCTTGGCTAAGATTTTCAAGTCTAGGTTTATGAGGGAGAAAGGGCTAAAGTTATCCCAGTTTCAGTTGTCTGTATTACACTTCAATATCATGCCGATGGAAGCAGTCAGGGATTCTTGTCTGAATGTATTTCATTGCTGAATAACATTAAATGCTTCATCCAATAGGGGTGCCAAAATATGGATTATTGTTTATAATAAGAGCCAGAAAAACTGTCCAGGCCAGGTCTCTTCAGTATATAGGTTTTTAAAGATGATCATATTTCTTGGGCAGTGACTGGTTTGTAGGAGGCTTCCCCTTAGTGTTCAGGTAGAGAAGAGAGATTTAGCTGTACAAACCATTGGTCAGCCAGGTCACTGGGCAAGTAGTCCGTAGAAGTAGAACATTTAGATAGTGGAGAATGAAAGATGTTGAGAATCTGGGATTACTAGTTTGGGTATCCTTGGCCATTCAGAATCCCTAGTGAATGTCTAAAGAATTGGCAAGGAGGGATTCTTGTTTATTGGCTTTCAGGTAAAATTTGTGATTTGTTTTATTGAGTTAAAACTTGGTTTGATTCATTAGCTGAAGGCTAATGTTTTGCCATGCTCGTTCTAATTTATATTTATTGGATGGAGAGGGGTCATTCTAAAGGGAGTCAACACAGGTCTGGAATTCACCATCTAGTTAGTCAATGCGTGCTCTTTAGGGCAAGAGGCCGTTTGCATAAGTTTACCTTTTGTTAACAGTTTATGGGCTTCCCACAGAGTGAGATATGCTAGGTGTCCAAAGTGTAGATATATTCTTAGATATATTGTGCAGTGATGCAAGTAGAAGTATCAGTGAGGGTGGTGTCAAGGGATGAGTGAGGATATATTCACAGAGACAGTTGATCCCTGGTCCGACCAGGGAATCATTTGTGTAATTTACCTATGACTGTTAAGAAGGGGATCTGGACAAATATATGACCTATCCTTGAGAACAAGTCATGTGGGTGCCAATAGAATGTATAGTCCTTTTTAGTTGGGATGAGTTCCCTCAATATAAATTAATCGGATCTCTAAAGGATATACAGTTTTGTGGGTATGTCAGGGTGTCTTTTTAGATTTGACTTCATGTGGGTAGAGGCCTAAATTGGAGCTGTCACAGATGAACACCACATCTTTCTGATGTTTAGCAATATTTTTTAAAAGGTAATTGAAAAAGGGAGGCTTGGTGGAATTAGGAGCATAATAGGAGGCTGTGAGGGAGGAGTAAGGGCTGAAAGGGAGGAGTAAGCTGGCATATTACATGACCCTTCTTTTCTGTCCTCTGTTGTCACTTAGAAAACGCACAAGGTTGTGGCACTTCTATCTTGTTTTTTATGATCTCTTCAGCTCTTTTTTTCTTCTGCTTGTATACAAGAGCAATACACCAAAGACATCCATCACTTCCACCTTGGGAACCCTATGCCAGGGCACTGAGGGATTTTTATTGTTTCTGTATGTTAAGGTACTGAGACAAAGCTTGAATATATCTTGTGTAGATCAGTTCAAGAATTGAGCATGTTGTGTAGTTATTTGTGCATGTTTGGGTATATTAATTTCTTATGTATGTTTTGCAGGTCGGAGAGCAGATATAGTTATGGAACATTCTGAAGGTATTAAAGGTTTCCAGGCTGTTCTTCAGCAAATGAATAAACTCCTAAACTACCCAAGTGTACTTCAGGCACAGAATGAATTAGGTAAAGGGGCCTTTTCTTTAAGCAAGTATATGAATGTCACTAATACAGCAGTCACATGAAAAAGTAATTACATTACATGGAAGTTGTTGAGTTTATTTAACATACTCGAACAAGCAAACATTAGACATTTTTTAACTAGTGTCTGCAGATAAAGGTGATATACAGTACCTGAATAAAAACACAAGAAATATTTGCCTTTTCAATTTTTAACAAAAATATAAATGTATGTAATGTACTTTGGGGGAAAAGTAAGTACACCCTTGGCTTAGAATGTTGGTATTAACCCTTTTAGCAGAAATTTCTTCTTGTGGGCGTTTTGCATAACTGCCCATCAGTCACTGGCATAGACTCTTGACTACTCCTCCATGCAAAATTCCTTTTGTTGGTTTCCTTGCATGAACTTCCAAAAACAAAAGGCTGTTCACTTACCATTCCCATATATGATGGAATAGTTTTGCCAAGAACAATGGGGAACAATTGCAGGCCCTGCTGTGGTCTATCCTCACAGACTCAAGTCTGTAACTTCTGCCAAAGGTACATCTATTAAATATAATATCAAGGTACGGTAATTCTTTTTATTATTGTGATTTTTTTTAAAGTTACTTTTCTGTTTTCACTTTGACAAGAAAGAGCCAAGTGATGCTAACCACTGTCAGGCAAGAAAATTAAATTCACTGCGATTTAATGCTCTACTTTGAAGGCGATGAAAACTTTGTATAAGCACTGTATGGATTATACTGTTAGAACGTAGAGGATGACACCTCTTCTGCCTCTGTGCTGGCGGTCTTTTGCTCTCTGCAGAGTCTGGCTGTCAGATTGACAGTCCAGCCCTAGAGATGACACTGAAAGAAGCTGCCCAATGTTGTTTGCAGGGCAGGTCTGTCAGTGACATTAGGGTGCTTTGTTTAATTAATGAATGAAAGATGTGGTTGCAGATTAATGTGGTGTCTTTAGATCTCTACATATTCTAGTTACAGCAATCCTGTCTCAGCGCAGGGTGTCAGCGCAGGGTGCGAGCACTTTGGTACCATTGCATTGGATGCCACAGGATCTTGTCCCGCCACTAATGTTACTTATTCATATTGTATTATGCTGAATCATAACAATTCACTGGTAATGTAAAATTGTATGATACCTATGACATGTTTGATATAGATAGTGTGAGCTGGCTTGCAAATATTAATTTTCTTTCACTGTTTCTGTATTGAATTGCCATTTGGAGGTGTGTGTGTATATATTTTTATAATATATATATTTTTATTCTAACCCAATTTTAGAGGAGAAGCTAAGCAGCCTGTTCAAGTGTAGCATCACAGAGATTTTCCATAGCTGTTATTCAGTACTCCAAGATGATTACCTAGTTTGCCATATCGTCCTGGATTATGAACTGGAACAGATTCTTCTCCAGCTAAAATCTGTGATCGATTGCTTTGGTATGTCTAAGTATTCATGCAACTTGGTAATGTTTAATTGATGAAAGGTAGTTGAAGCTTTTGATTAGTGAATTATTATTATTTTTTCTGGGAAAATTCTGCAGGACAGTTTCAGTACATTACAATTGTTGCATAGCACAGCATACATTTCACTGTTACCACACAGCCTTCTGTCAGAATCTTCTCCACCAAGCTCGCACATTATTATATATAAATACATTCTGCACTAATTCTTAACAATAATAAGTGGGTGTAAAGTTACAGCTGCTCACATATAGGGTTACATGAACCTTCAAATGTAATAGATAAAATAAGTGGTGCTATAAACCCCCAAGTTAAACTTCAAGGGGAATCTATAAAATCTCCTATATAAATACAGTGCAAAATCATCTGTGAAATACTATCAAAAAACACGATGTCCTATAGACAATTCCTTCAAACTTATACAAATATTCCATAGTCTCAAAAAATTTGTAAATTCAGTTATTTATATCAATTGCCCATCCTTCCTAGTGTTACAATGTCTCAAGTTCCCTTTTACAAATCCTGTTATCTTGTGTTACTTCAAATATCTATAAAATATCCACAGTTGTGTCTATTTGTGTAATTAATGATCCTCCAGTGCTCCTTTCACCCGTGCTCAAACAATATATGCCGCTCACCTCTTTGACAGAACCTTACTCTCTTATGAGATCAGGTCACAAGCGCTTATGCAGATCCAAAGACTTCTAGCTTCGTTCCATGCCACACACCTTCAATGGCATTTCCAGCCCTCGATGGAAAAGGATCTTTCTTCTTATGCTCTTGCTTTTGGATGAGCCCTGTTTCATTAACCCTTTCGCTGCCAAGCCCTCCGGAACATTTTTCAAATCAGCTAGAGGGTTAAAACTCAAAAATAGAGGTATATACCATATACCAAAATGAAACAATGCAATAAAACTCACATTAAAAACATGTGTAATCCAGCATATCAGGAGATTTTTTAGATTCACCTTGAAGTTACACTTAGGGGTTTATAGTGCCACTTATTTTAACTATCTATTATGTTCATTATATTGGAGTGAATTAGCTGTCTGGAGAGTTTGTGCTCCATAGCCCCTGGACACTTTAAAGTGTATGTGAAGCCAATTTGTTTTTTAAATTGGGGATTGGTGGAACCCCTGCTGGGTTATTTTTTTGCTTTTTGTCCCGTTAGGGACATTGTCCTTCATTTTGTGTCACTATTGTGAGACATATCCGAGGGAACATCCCTTCTTAGACAGTTGCCACTGTAAGTGGTGACTGATTATTGGCAGATTTTTCCTTTATATTTGTATCTGTGGAAATTGTAAAATTTTGGGTTATCACGTTCTATACCAGAGGCACCAGGACAAATAGAGAGAGTGGGTCTGCAAAAAGATAGGGGAGTGTTCCAAGTGAGGATCACAAAAAAGTGGTTGCTTAAACAGACCGAGACCATTAAATCTTATAAAAATATAGGCTTAATTACAAAACATCAATTTCTTTGCAACAACACTTCCGCTTCTTACTGTACAATAAAAGAAACAACGTTGTTCGTGACACTCAAACACTCATTCATACACACTATGGGCCCCACACATACTACGACCAAGTTCAATCCCTGTAGAAACAAGGGAATACTCCCAAATAAAGCACCTGATAATAATCAGTGCTAAACCCCTTGACAAACGATGATTTGGAGTGTGGACAGACTAGATCAATTAGGGCAACTCCTTGTATAGGTATCCCGATGTCTGATGGATACTATCTATCAATTGGTGATTGGCATAGGAAGTCTCTGTAATTCACCATGGATAGAGGAAGGGGACACGTTCCTGTACAAGTAAGATGTAGTTATGGACTTTCATATATCCGTGTTTTAAGGAGGAAAAAGTCCTTCACTTGGTTTCCTGGGTCCTCCAGACCTTCCCCTTCCCTCCAGACCTTCCCCTTCCCCCTCGTCTCTTTCCCCTCTTTTTGAAAAAAAGAGGGGAAAGAGACGACCAACTGTGAGTACGGCTGACTATAAAACAAGTTTCAAATAGTCTATCACAGGTCTCCCCCTCGAAGAAGAAAAAATTTCTATTACTAGGGGAGGAATTTATTGATATAGGGATTTCCCTAAGATTTCCCTAACTTCTTTTTACCATCTACTGGACCTGAGTGACCTGTCTCTTTCCCCTCTGTGCTTTTCCAAATTTCCACTGGCTTTTTCCCTGCCTAGGAACCTGTGTCACTCAGATTGTTTCCTGAAGGACATATTTTTCAATTCTATCAATTATGATCCTGCTAGCTGCTTTTCTGCACTTCTCCTTCTCCACTACTCTGTTGAGTATTGTGCCTGGACTTCTTATCTTTGAGTCAGTTATTCTAATAACACGTCTAAACTGATCTTTGACTCTTATGGCCTAACCCTTTACAAGAGTGTTTACCAACCAAGTTGTATAATGTATATTTCATTTCTGCTTCTCGTAACTACCGTGTTTCCCCGAAAATAAGACACTGTCTTATATTTTTTTTGGCTCAAAAAAACACACTAGGTCTTATTTTCAGGGTAGATCTTATTTTTAATGTACAACCATCCACACTTATTCATGTACAAAAATATGGTGATCAGGGGTGCCGTACCTTTCCAAATTTGCTAACCAATCGCTGGCCAGAATGAGCAAAGCGCACTTTCACTATCGATTCCTCACAGGTGGAGTGCATTTGGTATGACTCCGCCTGTGACAGGAGATGGCTCTCTAGAGGAGGCATCGGCTTATGCGGCTCTGCTCCCTCCGAAGCCACCTCACTTCCTCTACCGCTAGTTTCATTGGCACCGCTGATTCTCTCCTGCCTCTCCCGCAGCTCTTCAAGTTCCCCCTTATGCCACCACCGGCCCTGGGAATGGTCACAACTAGGTCTTATTTTCGGGGTAGGTCTTATATTTTAGCAATTCCCAATAATAGTACTAGGTCTTATTTTCGGGGTAGGTCTTATTTTCGGGGAAACAGGGTATATATATATAGAAGGGGGGTTTCCGAACCATTTCAAAAAAAGGTATAAAGCCAGAAGAGAGGATCTAAAACATCCTGAAAGATTACATTGTTAATCAGCCAAAAAGGGGCATCGCCTAAATCAATGCAGAAAGTTTGGAGCTTAGTAAATATAGTCTTTCAGTTTGTTGTACGCTCAGTGTGCTTGGTTTCGGAATACAGAATTGTAGCTCCATTAATATGCATGACTGTTTCCATTGATGCTAACACTAATGTGCCATATTTTTATCTATACTGTAGACTCCCTTATGATACTTGTCATTTGTGTAAATTACTTTTCTGTATGTTTTTACAATGTTAGGAAAATGTATGTAAAGTGTGTAGAGACTTAATATTTGTAATTGTGGTGTTGGACTATTTATAGTTTTGGGCTTTTTTTTTCTATTTGCCAGAGCTGAAAGGAAACATTGTGCAGTCATTGTTGGACCAGTTAACTATGAAGCCCCAAGAAGTTCAGATGAATCCTGTTCGCAAGCAGATGACTCTTCTTTTGGAAAATTTAGAAAAGAGAGTACAATCATTAAACATGGAAAGTGATATATTTGATCATGTCCATCGTTTTTTCATATACATTGACACTCTGGCAAAGGTTATTGTTCAAAGTATAAATTCAGACTTGGGTAAGTGGTATATAGTCATTTCATGACTCTGATTATTGTCCAGATCATTTATAGGGGATTTCAGTTTGCACTGAAGAAGTGGATAACTATTACATCCTAAGAATTAGGGTGGTAGGGGGAGTTAGCTGCCTGGTTCTTGCTATCTTATTTCTTCAAAGAACATGGTAAAAGCAACATACCTTAACAAAGTATGCAAAAAATCATCTTGGTTTATAATGGTGAGATTAATATTGTTTTAACTCATCGCTCAATTCAATATATATATTATATGTGTGTGTATGTACACATACAATAAATACATACATACATACATACATACATACATACATAAACTGAGTGATGAGTTGTCTTCCCATTTATAGATACATAGTGATGCATTTCCTATTTGTGGCTACACTACTCGCCCACCATATAAGAGATTATCTCTCGTGTGCAATCTCATTGTACCTTCGAAAAATTAGTAGCATATAGACTGAATGCTCAGAAACTTCATTTTAGATTTGATGCTTGGCTTAATTATCTAAAAGATTTGCTTCAGTATGATTGCAGGTTATTCCTCATCTCCTACTCTCTAATTTTGCATGTATGTCACATGATTCCCTTAGTTTGTGCTTGGTTTGTTTTATATTAGTTCTGGTGTTAACTTTAAAAGCTGTATTGTCTTCCATTGGTTTGCAATTTATGCTAAGCCATTGAGGAATAATATTATTGTCGACATTGATTACACACGTTGGTGATGTCTTGCAAAGGCGGCTTCCTAGCTTAGTGCGAGAAAGGTTATAAGTCATTGTTCTTCATACTGAACTGCTAACCACTTATCATTTAGACTTGTTTTTGTATTTGGTGATTTGTATACCTTTTTGCTTGTGAGTTCTTCAATACAAATCTAATGTTGAAAAAGGAAAAAATCTGGTTGGAAAGGATCTCGGAAATCCTGTCCCAGATACATAAACTCTAATTGGCCCACAAAAAGTCCACATGACCCTAATGGATTTACAGATCCTTAGGTATACTCTTATATTCCAGCTATCGCCCAGTTTACCCTACTTAGTCCCTGTTCACACCATCGCGTTCTGTGAATGTGCGACAAACTCAGGGAAAAAAGCCTGTCTGCTACTGACATTTTGGTGCCAGATACCACAGCATACCAGAGGCTGTTCTGGCGGCAAAAGGGTGACCTGCTCAATATTACGTGGGTGGTCATAATGTTATGGTTGATAGGTGTATGTATATATAGATATATGTGTGTGTGTATGTGTATATACATATATATATATATATATATATATCAATTAACA